AAAGAATTCAGGGAGAAGAGCAAAGGCCAGATAGGGAGCCAGTGGGAGAGGCTGCTCTGAGCTCTCCCTGGTTGACTCGGTCAGTGTGGAGACTCTGGGCAAAGGGAGAATTACAGCAAGGAGTGTGAGAGAGGGATCTGCTTCCTCACTGCACAGACGGGAAACTGAGGCTGGACAAAATGAAGGGATGGTCTCCAGAGCAGTTGTCTCCTGCCCGTGTGGACTTAGCCCCCCATGTCACTCAGCAAAGAGCCCAGCACCTGGTTCCTATCTCTTGACTGTTTCACAGTGAATGGCAGGACCAGGTGGCTAGCGACTGTGGTGGTACAGTCAGGGCATCCCTGGAGTGAGTACCTAACTGCAGTGCTTGACCTGCTGTACTGCAGAATGACCTCGGGAAATTCTTCAAAAAGGATGCTGGGCTTGGGGTAGGCCCCACACCCATATGTTTCAGAAGCTCCTCCCCATGACAGCCAGGCTAAGAACCACTGACCTGATGAAAACCCGGGGCCTGATACTCACTATTCTCAGGCTGGATCCCCACTGCTATCAATCACAGCATGAAAGACTATGCCTCCCTCTGCCCAGCTCTGAAACTGACCCACAGCAGCAAACCATCAGTCATCCAGTGCTTTGTTACTTAAAGTGTGGTCCCTGGACCAGCAGCACCAGCATCTCCTGGGGGTTTGTTAGAAATGCAGAATCTTGGATCCAGGCCTAGAACTGATGAATCAGAATCTGCATTTAAATAAAATCCCATGGGATTCACAAGCACATTCAGAAGCCCTGGTCTAATGAAGATGCATGCTTGACACATGTTGAATACCTGAGAAATGGTCTGTTTGATAAAAAGTGGAATTTTTAAAACTAAGAATGCTACTAAGGAAAGGATGGCATGCAAGGCAAAAAGAACACTATTGAGCTGCGGATCAGCGACAAGGGCTCACTGAGATCCCAGGGTCCCTAGCATTGTCAAGGCCTGGGTTCCTTGAGATGACAATGCTAAGTGGCTGGGAAGTGACCTTTATGCTATCCCCACTCCCCACGTCTGCTCCCCACTTCCTCTTCATGGGAAATGTACCCCAGCTGGGCAGGTGGCCCTTATACAACTGGCAAAGAGGGTCTATTTCATCAGAGCTAGCCCCTTACCCTCCACGCTCCAACTTTTCCTGCTGACACCCAGATCAGACAACATCTAAACACAGCCCCTTTGCAGCCAGCACCACTAAGTGGGGTCTCAGAGCTTGCACACGGAGGGAAGGACTTTGGGGACTCTATGGGGGGAAAAGGATACAAACCAGCCTTGCCAGAAAATGAAAGCAGGTGAAAAGGACCTTCCGATGTCAGGTTGGATGAGCCACACCCATGGGTCTCTTTTCCTGTACCTGCGAGTCTAGGGTGGTGAGTGGCACTGGGTGACACTGCCCGGGATGCCTACTCTAGCTGCCACCAACTCTGAGAAGAGCAGCGGACCTCGGGGGGCCCAAAGAGACAGGCGGTGTTAGCTTCCTCTGGGCCTTATAATTGGGGTCTGTAAGGAGCTTGGGGGTGGCCTTTTGCCAGCATATCCAGCCTGCCTTTCATGGGAGCCAAAGGGCCTTGAACGGTGAAGCAAAGGCCCAAGCAACCAGCTCAAGTCCTGGCTGTACACCCCCTTCAAGGGGCGCTCTCCTTGGCTGATGTGAAAGCTGGGGTTGCAGCCGAGGAGGGCTTGTGTGGCATTGAGTGTTCAGAAACCTGGCCAGCTTCTGCCCTGTGGGGAGAAGGGCACAGGCTGCCCTAGGCCTTTAGAATGTGAGCCATGCCTGCTTCTGGGGGGTCCATACCTGCCCTGGACTGCATCAGGGGCCCAGAGGACCCAGTGATTTCAATTCCAACCATTCATCTCTCCTGATCACTAAGAGGCCCTCACTGGGTAGACATTGAGATGACAGACAAAGCAGACTTGTTCCCCATCTCCCATTGCCTGTGGTCCCCCGGGGAGAGAGAGGCCATGAGAGTGAGCACCCCATCTGCCACTGTGTGTGTCTGTGCTTGCTGGGTTAAGCTACAATTCCTCACTGGGTGGCAAGCCTCTTAAAGTCCCAGCTGTTGACTGACCACTACCTTTCCTCCCAAGCCTGGTGCCTACAGTGGACACTCAGGAAGTGCTAGCTGGGTGGTGGGACATTTGTGGCTTCAGGGTGACAGGTGCAAGGACAGGAGGATGGCAGGAGCACAAAGCAGGGCTCATTGGAGAGTGGCACCCAGCGCGACCCTGTTTGTAAGTGCGAGTGGCCCTGGCAAAGACAAGAGTGAGAGTGTCCACTCCCCGCCTAGTAGGAAGTTCAGCCTGGAGTGGGGGAGTGGAAACAGATGTGGGGGTGACAGCTCATCTCTGTTCCAGAGGCAAGATGGCCTTCCAGGTCTCCTTGACTTACAATGGGGTTATGTACCGATAAAATCATCATAAACAGAAAATGCATTTCATGAACCTAAACTACCAAACATCACAGCTCAGCCTTGCCCACGTTAAGCATGTTCAGAACATTTCCATTAACCTACAGTCAGGCAGCATCATGCGACACAAAGCCTGTTTTATAACAAAGAGTTGAGTGTCTCCTGCAAGTTACTGAAGAGGTCCTGAAAGTACAAACAAGGATGGTCGCACAGGTTTGCACCATTAATGTGCACAGAAGAACCCTGGATCGTTTGAAACATTGACCGAAGATCAACTGCTGGATGGCAGGGACGCTACAGAGACAGAGTCATCAATTCCTCCCCTGATGAGGCCTGAGAATAGCCGGTAGAAGGTTGTTTGCTCTAGTGATCTTGTTGCTACTGGGAGCTGCCGCTGCCCAGGCTCACAAAGGAGTATCTATGGTGTGTCCCTAGCTTGGGAAAACATCAAAATTCAGACTTCAAAGTATGGTTCCTACTAAGTGCCTACTGCTCTCACAGCACCGTGAGGTCGAACAGTAGCAAGGTGAGCCATCGTACGTTGGGACCCTGTGTACCAGGGTGCGCTGGTGCCAGGCAGTCAAGAACTTCCCCAGTGGGAGCCGTGGCACCAGGTTCCAGCGGATGATGGCTGAGCCCTGGCCTTCAACTTAGTGTTCTTTCTGGCACTAGTGTTTGCCAAAGTATTGTCTCGCAGCCCACTAATTCCGCAAGAAGTTGTGAGCTAGGGGATGCAAAGAGGACTTCATTGAGTTCTGTGCAGCCAACGAAGTGCCCTTCCTGCTGTCTCCTTGGTGGCTGGTGGAGAGCAGGGGTAGGGACTACAGAGTCCCTTTCTTGGCTGAGTGTTTCCCAGGATTCAATCTTTGCCAGATACTCGTGGCCAAGGCCACGCTAACCACGGCCCGTTGGAAGGACTGTCTGACCCGAGCAGGACCGCGGGAGGCCCCTGCAGCTAGCTGCCCATCGGCCGCGTGTGTCTCGCCCTGAGCTGTGTGTGTGTGTGTCTGGAACTGGCTCTGGCTGGGTTACTTGGAGCTGGCAGCCATTGTCTGAAAGTCTTACCCCATCCTGCCCTTCTCTGAAAACAAGCAAAAGCCAAGGCCAAAGGCCAATCCTGTCCCTGACTCCCCTGCACCTGGCAGTACATGGCAGACAGGCTGCTTCCCACCGTCACCCTCCACACTCTCCCAGAACATTCCGGCCCGCGAGGAACATGCCCGATGTGCAAATCCCTCAGGTAATGCGGGAATTCGTCACCAGGGGAGCAAGGGCGATCCAGGAATGGGAACCCGACCAGGGCCTGGAGTTGGAGAGAAGCAGCCCAGGCTGGCCAGCGAGGGCTCGGGTTGCAGCGAGCAGGCTCCCCGGGAAGAGGAGAGGACAGCGGGATGGAGCTGCATGTGGAGGGGCTCCTTCTCCCCACTGTTTCAGGGAAGAGACGGCAGATGGCAAACCAGGTGGTCAAGACCAGGATGACGTCCTGGGTTACGTTGGCTGCTTGGACGTAGTTGTGAATAAACCCCTCCTGACTCTCAGAAGTGCTGTGATTTGTATGGACACCCTCGACAAGACAGACCGGCAGACATTCCAGACTTTCAGAACTTTAAGCTGCCATTTCACCTGGCTTGGAAACTCGATTTGTGTCCCAGCTAGTCTAAGGAACACAATAGGAGTAGAGATCACTTTTCCTCACCCTAAACTCTCGAAGGATGGTTCAGGGCATTGACATGGGTGCCAATCTATACCACCTGCTACCTCTCCCTGATGCCACCCAGGCTGTGGCCACCAGTTCACCTGCTACCACCGGTGACATCAGTGCCAGCTTTCCACTTGTGAGATACAACAGTGCTGGGCTCAGCCCAAGTGCACAAACCCACACCCATCACACACTCACACAGGTAAAGTCATGGCTGGACACTGGCTTTGGCGGAGGGAGAAATGAGGAGTGAGGTTAAGTTTCCTGGGGGTGGAGGGGTTTTGAGCGGGAAGGCACCAAGGAACACGACAGCCTTAGCTCTCCACGCTTCCCCTCTACCCTGAAAGGGATTTCAGAGAGAGCCCAGTGCCTCAGCAGACAGACTGCCTCTGTCCTGCTCCAAACCCTTCTGTCTCCTGCTCAGACCCACCTCAGTATCAGTTACAATCAACTGCACCACCTCCAGGGTCAGGGAGGACATCCAGGGGAGGCGGAGGGACAGAGAAATCCTCAACAAGTTTAAGTCTGCTCAGACTTGAAGAGGTCAAAGCACAGAGCATGGTTAAGACCAAGGGCCAGTCCTCTTATCATGGAAATAGAAAGAGGGAAAGGCTGGTTAAACATGAAGCACCTATAAAATTATATTGGTGCATCGTAACCATGGAGCACTGACACAAACACACACAAATCCGGCCACTCATCCCCTGCCCCTTGAGTGCCTTTTTATTTTCTATAATTAATCGGGCAAGGGTGGAACTTGGGAAAAGTTCAACTGTGGTCAGAATTTGCAGCCTTCTCTCTAGTAATAACCCACCGACAGGGAGGGGCAGGAAGGGAGGCGCAGCTGTCGGTGTCCGGTTACCTGAAGCATGTTGAGGAGCAGGCTCCGGAACTTGGTCCCCTCCACCATGAAGAGCGCCATCTTGTCGCAGAGCTTGGCTGCCGTGAAGGCGAAGCTGCGGTCGGACACGGCCTTCTGGTAGATGGTCCGTACGATCTCTCCCAGCATCTCCTCGGAGTTGGTGGAGTCCTGGGCCTCCTCCATGAAGGTGGTGAGCTTGGCATCCACATCGCTGCTATTGTTCCGCATGCTGTTCAGGATCTCGATCAGCTTGTCCATCTTGCTGTGCTGAGGGTTGGTGGTCTCCACTGTCACTTCATCCTGGGGGTGTGGGAGACAGACCTGTTGTGCCTGAGTGGTGCTGAGGTTTCGAGGGGGGAGTGGCCAGTGGAGGGAGGGCTGCCACCCCCAGAAAGGACCCACCCTTCCCTCTTGAACCTGAGGTCTGATCCCCCTGGGAATGCTGGCTCCCCCCTCCCCCACTAAGGACACTCAGGCTCCAGGGCTCTCTGCTGACTTTTTTCTCGGCCCCTACGACATCTTGGGTGTATCTTCCGGCAGGCTCCGGCTTTTACCGGGATTCTCGCGTAACTCTGCCTTGGCCTATTTGTCCATCAACTGTTTCACTAAAGAAATGATTTAATGGGACATATAGAAGATGAAATAAGATAACATAATAAAATTGGCTCAAAGAGAGAATGATGGCAGGAAGACTAGATCAGGGAGAGATAATATCCAAAATGCCTGCTGTGTTGGTTAGAGGCAGCCGGTGCAAGGATTATCTTGTCCTCTGCCCTCGGCTCCTACAGCCCAAAGACCGCTGTGTTCAGGGCTCCTGGTGCACGTGGCCCTGCTTTGCATCCTGCGGAGATTGTGCTGACCTTCCGCACACAAACACTACACACTGAGGAACTCTCAGCATGCTGCCAGGATGATGGCACCTGTAGGAGGGCAACTTAGACAAAATCCCTGCCCTTGTGTTTCGCTGCAAGCAGGACCAGACCTGGCTGGTCAGAAGTATTCACTCGAACACAACACACTGCTGGCAAAGAATTCCAGCTACTGACTGCTGGGATATGAGATCAAGATCAGCGGGTAGGACAGTCAGAGAACGGAGTCCTGCACCTGCTCTTCTTTACAAGGAGAGCTCTGGAAGGGGAGGCATGGATAGAGGTTCCGAACCCACTTCTGTGTGTCACTGTATCACTTTGGCCAAGTGGTTTTCCTCTCTGGGCCTTGGTTTCCTCACTGGTGACACAATGGGATTCGCCTAGCTGGCTGAGCTTCTCTGAGCTCTTTCATTGCTCAAGCCCTTGTCTTGCTGGTCCAGGAGTCCAGGAAACCTCATGTGAGAGGGGTGTGAAGTCACTGTTTGGTATTAGGGATCTCCTTAATCTGCTCTACCTACCCCCTTACCCACACTACTCCCCAGCCACCTGGTGGTTAATGCATAGAACAGTGGAAAAGTATATAGAACAATAACATAGAACACTATAATAATATATAAAGAGAGAGACACAGAGAGAGAGAGAGAGAGAGAGAGAGAGAGAATTAGAATGTATATAGAACAGTAACTGTGTATAGAAATAATAGCTACCCACAAAGACTCAGAGAGGTCAGGTGACCAGCCCAGGGTCACCTTGCCAATCAAAGGCAGAGCGAGAACAGAGCCTGGCTTGTCTGCTTGCTGGTCTCTGCAGCCTGTGCAGTTTGCACACTACAGTACTGCAATAACACTTAGCAGAACTGGGGAGAGCTTAGTTAATAATCCTCTTTCCCTAGCCAAGCTACCTCAGTCTGCCCTGGAAGCATTTCAGGCGATGACCACATACTGGTCATCAGTTGGGAACCTCTCCCAGGTTTGGGATGTAGGGGGATGAGGGAGGCTTTTCTTTACAGCTGGGGTCCCCATAGGGCATGGTGGGGAGAAGGCTCGGACTGTGCAAGATGCCAGGAGCATCATGGCAGCTTCAAGAGTTGATGTAGGAAAATCTCTGACCTGCTCTGTCCTACCTGTGTGTGGAGCTGAGCCTGGGCTCTGGGGAGAAAAGTCAAGAAGGCAGTAGAGAAAGGCTGGGAGAAACCCAAAACACTGAGTGCTGCAGAAGCCCCAGACAGGGGATTCTGGGGACTCTGCTGGGAGCAGGTCAGCCTTTCTTCCACTGTTCTTCTCCAAGGTGACTTGGAGGAGGGGAGGAGGGGAGTTGGGCAGCGTGGGAGGAGGGTGCTAGGGTGAGCCCAAGGGCCTCAATGCTGCCAGGGATGGATCTCCATTCCTTTTTTTGAGGCTTGGGGTGGTGGTTATTTCCTCTTGGATTTCTGAACCAGGCTCTGGAGACAAGGGTAAAGAAAGAGGCTCCTGGGAGCGAAACTGAAGGAAGCCCTCACTCTCAGGAACTCCCAGTCCAGGGTCAGCACCTGTATGATGCCGACAATGAGGGCCTTCTTAAATTTTGTCCCTGAGACAACCTCTTTGGCTGCAGGGAGCTAAAGGAGGGGAATAGCAAGGCACCCTGCCCAACTCACCTTTGCTCTGACGCCCCTACAGGGATCACAGCCCAGCTGGTACTTACCCAGGAGAAGCATCCCATTCTTCTTATCTAACAATCTCTCTGTTTCCCCCCAAATGGCCGTTAGCACTAATTGGTGCTGATCTCAGAAAACAGTGCTCCAGGGAAGAACCAGGCCTTCCCTGCAATCCTCTCTTCACCCCCAGCCCCCAAACCTCTTCCTCCCCTTATCTTAGACTAGAGGATGGTGGCAAGTGCCCCAAAGGGGCCTCTTGGGGTGGGGGGCTATAAGGTGAGGAGCCAGAAGGTTCTGGAATGGTGAGGACTTGCCCTCTGATGGACAGATGTGATGGGCCCGCGCAGTGGCCCATCTACAGGGCTCCCCAGGCCCTCAAACCCTACCCTACCGACCAAAATGCCTACCTCTCGCTGTCCTCCCCGGTGCAAGAGAACAACGAAAATTCAATTACCGGTACCTTTTCTTTCAGTCTTCGCCGCAGCCTGTCTTTGGAAGACTGGAGCAGGGTAATTTTGGGCCGCTCCCCGAGGCGCTCGGGAAAAATACTGTCTTTACGCTTTGTCTCGGCCTCTGGACCCCCTGGCTGCTGTGGGGGCAGCCTTTCGGAAGCCACTGGGGCCGGGGCATCAGGACTGCGGGGGGGCTCGAGGCTGCTGTGACCAGTGTCCCCCAGGGCGTCCTCAAGTTTGGGGCTCTCCATGGTCAAGGTCTCTTTGGCATTGCGGTGGGTGCCTGCCTCCCCCTTGTCCCCTGGGGGGTGCTTCGTGTTGCTGTGGTGCCAGCGCCGGTTCTGGCTGTAGCCGTGGTGGGTGGGCCTCCCTGAGGGGTGGGGCACCGAGCCCCCCTGGTAGGATTTCTGGTGGTCCCTGTTGTGTTTGGCACTACCCGGCTGGTGGTCACTGTGCTGCTGGGATTTGTTCCCTCCTGGAGGTCTCTGCTGTCGCCTGCAAGCCAAAGGGGACAGATAGACAGGGGTTACCGGGCAGGCCGCACAGGGTGCCTGATTCCAAACTCTGAAAGAATAATTCATCAATTTGTTCATTTATTCCTTCTTTCCACACACCATCTGAGCGCCTCCTTCTGGTGAGGCTCTGCGATAGGGCCTGAGGATAGTGCAGAGAGTAAGACTGACAGGTCTCTGTGATTATAGAGGATTTAAGTCAATCCTCGACTTCGAATAAGATTTTAGGCTCTTTTTAGAATATACATTAATACAACTGTGTCAGACTACATCAAAGAGACACAGAGTACAGAGCCTCTATCCCCACTGTTCCCTCCAAGCACCTGTGACCAATTTATGATCTTTCAAATACATTCTATGCACATTGCATCAGAGATACACATGAACTTGCATCTGAATGTGACTTTTTACCATAATGAGTCTTGAAAAGCTCTATCATTTGTCACTCAGTACAGTCCCAGTCCCTAGAGATTCTCCCAGATAGGTACATGTATCAATATTGCATTCCTTTTCATTGCTGAATAGTATTCCACAGTGAGGGTGTATCAATGCACTAAGCATCTGCTCACTGAAGGACATCTGGGTTGTTTCCAGTTATTGGCTATTATACACAAAGCTGATAGGAATATTGGTGTATAATCCCACCCCCTCCAGCATGCCTAGACCACTCAGTTTCATTCTCAAATGCTTTTTTATTCTAAGACCAAGGATCATCAATGGGACCAATGCTTGAGCTTCTGGGAAAGACGTTCTGTCTACTTTCACACCAGGCCAGGGACAACCAGCCTGGGCACCCAAGTCAGAGGGGGACCCCATCAGAAAAGTAAGTCATTGAGTCAGGTTCCTCCCAAGGCTTCTGTCACCTGCTGGTCTTCAGATGGCCCAGGCCTAAACCCAGATGCCCGAGACGTGGGTCAGCCTTCAGCCTCATCCTAAGAAGCACAGACCTACCCACACTGGGTGAAAAAGAAATACCACCACTCCCGACTCCCCTGGGTGCCCTGTGCTTGTGACTTTCTGTGAATTCTCCTTACATTTATTTCTCAATTACTCTCAACTAATTGGCTCTTCCTCCTTCCCTTCTCTTTGTTCTTTGAGTGTGAGTAACTTTTAAGCCCTGAGAAGGACCTTGGAAATTCCCTGGCAGATAATGCTTGATTCTCACAACTTTTGTCAACCTTATTTAGAATTTTTGTGGTGCCTGCAGCAATGGCCCAAGGAATGTCCCCAAAGGATGGCTGACCAAGCCCTTCCCAGCATCTGTCTTGAGAAGAGCTTCCCATGTGCCAAATCAGGGATTTCCCTTTCTCTGCCCAACATCCTCTCCCCCTCCCAAACAAAACAAAATAAAACAAAGCAAAGTAAAAAAAAACCTTCTCTCCACCGGAGGAAGGGGGTAATTTCTACATGGTTGGTGGCAGAAAGCTCAGAAGGAAATCAGCTATGTCTGGCAGAGATTCTGCAGTCCATTCCTAGAAATTTGGGGGCACCTGGGATTCTGTATCCCCTCTCCCTTCAGCCATCCCCTTGAAAGAGCTTGGAGTCAGCCAGTCCTGTTGATGCAGCGATAAGCTCCAGGTTTCTGGCACCAAGGGGCCTTCTCAGACCCACTGCCCAGGTGGCAGCTCCTTTGCTCACTGGAAGGGGTGGGCAGGAGGGGAAAACTGGGAGGCCACCTCAATGGGTCCCTCTAACTCGGAAGCAAGATTAATGGGTTTAAAAGGAGGCAGGCTGATACAGAGCTGGGTGGCTAATGAGACTGGCTGGGTGCCCCTGAGAGGCAAGATGAAAGAGTCAGATGCCACTGGAGGCGAGGGGCACAGAGCCTTGCGCCTTCTCTCTCTCTCCCTTCTCGGCTCAAGGCCCCACATAGGTCTTGGGGACAGTGATGGCTGGGACTGGTGTCTGTGCAGGCAGAGCCTTTCTTCCCGGGTAAATTAACCAAGTCTCTGTGAGGTGAAGTTCCATATCAAAAGGCCTCGCAGAGGCTCTTGGGGATGTGTCCAGCCTGCCAGCTAATCATGTCACCCAGGGCCCACCTCCTGTCTCCCTCCCACTCATCCTCAGAGCCAGGGCCCTCAGGAGAGAAGCACTCAACAACCTCTAGACCTGTGTGGTGTGGCCACATGAGGCCCATGTCCTTGGTCTGGGAAGGGGCTGAGAGGGCCCGAACCGCTGGAGCGAACTTGGGGCTGGGCCTGGTCCCGCACAATGGAGACCTGGGCTTCCTTGCCTTGGTCCTTCACAAATATTTGTTAGTGGTCCCCAGTCAAGCCGGCCCAAACCAGCTCTCTCTGTGCTGTGTTTGCTGGCGCTGGGTTTCGTCGATACCTCCCTGCAGGGGCCAGCTGGCTGTTTACCACAAAACCTGTGGGTTTAGGTTTGGCTGGGCTGGGAGGGAGCTGCTTTTGCTCCCAAAAGCAGAGCAAGGAAGTCACATTTGGTCTCAGATACATGGATATGTGGATCTAGGCTTTGGAGACATCCTGGACATGTAGTTCCACGGCATCACCAGTGAAAGGACAGCGTCCACCCCTTGCCCATGTATGCCTAATCTCTCGGGGAAGCTTTCTCTGGTGGCGGTGGAGGGGAGAGGAGGGATGGCTTAGGAGATAAGATTAATATTCCATTTGTGCTACTGGCAACACCTGCTGTTAGGGAAATAATGCCTTTTTTTTTTTTAAAGAATGGAAATTGTCAGTATGCTTTTTCCATCACTCATTTAGTTTATTCTTTCTTCTTTGGGTTCTGAAATCAGATGTCTTGTTTCACTGGAAAACTGCTCTCTTTTATTAAAAAAAAAAAAAATAAGTTCTCAGAACACCACAGCTGCATTTTGGGAGGTGGGAGTCGGAGACTAACTTCAGATCTTGTTGTAAAAAATGGTTCGAACAGCAGACAAGGACTCTCTGTTCGTTTTTTATTTCATAATCATTCCCAACTAGATATTCCGAGGGCCACTGACTTCTTATGGTTCTCTCCATGTCGGATACTTTACCACATAATTTGTAGGTCTGCTTAAAAATTTCTGGAAGCAAAATTCCTAGGGCAAGTGGTTTTGAAAGTATGCATTGGCTCATATTTCTTGCCTTCAGGAAAAGTGATGACTGCTTATTACAGGCTGAGGCGCCTCCATTCCTGCCCCCCTACACATGCCCGGTGCGGGACCCACCTTCCAGCCATGGGGATAAGGCAGGAGTGTGGGGAGACTCGGAGGGTGAGGGCCAGGAGTTTCTCTGGGCTGTGGAGCTTAAAGGAAAGCATGGGGAGACTTATTTCTGTCCTCATGGAGCCAACCGAGGGAAGCAACAGGACACTGGCTTGACAAAGGGACAGGATCATCGTGCCTGCATTAATTGAAAACCTACTATGGCCTTGGGCCTGAATTAGATGATAGAACTCCATCTGGGACACTCCTCCCTCATCGTGTCTGTCTTTAAGCCTGTAGCCAGTTCCGAGCCCGGCTTGGCCACTCACAGATGAGTGGTTCTGGGAGATTTCCCCTCTCCTGGGCTCTGCCCCCGGCTCAGGGGTGGCTGGGAGAATTGCAGAGTGACAGTGGACAGTTTTACAGATCAGAAAACCAAGGTTCAGAGAGGTCGCTTCATTCCCCTAGGATTGCCCGGCTAGTTGGTGGCAAAGCCTGTATCAGAAACTGAGTTTCTGATGGAAGGTACTGCCTGAAACACTATATCCTTTGATTTAATAGTCACTTGTCTGCGCTCTTAGTGCTCTTTGGAGAACTCCAGGTTATCACTACAAAGTTTAGGCAACTGAGTCACTCTGTAACTGCCAGCATCGACATCACGATGTGACAGCAGCCGCATCAGCAGCTGGTATCCTGAGACACCCACTGCGTGCTCCCGACACGGGCAAAGGGAAGCCCTGCACCTCGGAAGGTCAGACTCTTCCACTCCAACAGATCGCGTGACTCTCCTTCCACTCAGTTGGGTTGGAAATAATTCAAGATCGAGGTCTGTGACAGCAAAGACAAAACATCCCATAAGAAGTTGGTTGTTTTACTGCATGGATTGAAACTTGAGAAACCAGAGGTGTACCTGGCCTGAGGGATGCTGCAGAGTGGAAATGGGAGAGTTTAGTCCCTCTTCTCCCTGCAGGCAAGAAGAGACTTTCCTCACCAACTACAGACTGATGAACAAATGAATGAAGGAATGAGTGAAATGAGTGAATGATGCAGGAGAAGGTCAGTTCACTTACTGCTCCATTCATTACACACCTTCTGAGATCCGGGTCTGCCTGGAGTTATTAGAGGCCTCAGCGCCTGCCCCCGTCCCCAGCCCCTGCCAGATCACACAGCGCCTGGAACTGAGGGACGCTGGGAGTGGGGGTGACAAACTGTTCTGTTGTTCCTAAGGAGACCTCAGTCCCTCCCATAACCCCTCCTGGGCTTCAAGGCCCAGATCTGCCCAGCAGTCGCCTCCATACCAGGTCCCCTCTCCGGCTCTCATAACCCCTAATCTGATGGTTTGTGTGTACCTACTGTCTGCCCTCAAAAGCATCCACTTCCTTTGGCTGGACCAGAACCTTCTCGAAACCTCCCTCGGTATCTGGGCTGGGCACTCACTCATGCCTCAAGTGAGGCCCCCAACGTGCCAGGGATTGTGTCGGGCACTGGGGACAAAGCGATGACTCGGACACAGGGCTGTATGTACCCTTGTGGAGCTTAAGATCCATTCATTACAGAAACAGTTATCTGCTGACAACCCGGGACAAGAGTCGTGAAGGAAAGGAAGTGGACATAAGCGCATGGTCTGTCCTAGTCTGGCTCAAGCACGGCTTTCATTTAAGCTTAAGAAGGAGGAAGTGTTAACCACTTGTACAGAGAGGTCAATGAAGCTCAGAAAGGGTAAGTACTTGCTCGAGGCCACACAGCTTGCAAGAGGCAAAGCTTGGGTTTGAACTTAAGTAGTTTGGTCTAAGAATGTATGTTCTCAGTCACCACATTCTTCTGCCTAAGGTTTT